GGCTCCACCCCCGACCGCCCGCCCCTAGCGGCCCCACCCCTTTTGCGCGCTCCCGCCCCCCGCGCCGAGCCGCCGGCCCGCCTAGAGCGCTCGGGACACCGGGAGCAGCCAGACCCGGCCACCCCAGCCCACGGGCCGCCACACCCACCATCCCTCCAGCCACCCTCACGCCCGTGGGTGCTGCTCTCTGCAGCACTCAAGCCTGGCGCCTGAGCGCCCGGTCCCCAAAGTCAGCTGGAGCGCCTTCCTCTACCCGTTCGCCAGCTTGCACAAGAAGAGAGGCTGCCCGGCCTAGAACCAAAGGCAACCTCCTTGCAGTGCCAGTACCTCAGAGCGCATCCCTAGCCCACCTTGCTGCCCTGCCCTTTTTCTTTAGTGTGAAAATAGGTCATTTGTTCCTGCTCCAGGTGTCTGTCTTGGACAGGGTCAATAGGTGGGTGGCTTTGGGGCACTGGGTGGGTGGGTACATTTGCTGACGGGCATCTTCCACCCCCACCCTGGCTGCCAGACTGCAGCTGGCACTCCCACGTGGGCACCTGGAGCCACCGAATCGGATGTGCAAGGGTCTGGGGCAAAGCCAGCCCGCTGAGCGCTGTGGTCCGTTGTCTGCACAAATATTGGCTGAGCTTCTCCCGCAGGCCAGGATCGCACAGGCGCCAAGGACTGGCTGGTGACAAGACAAACGGACCCCTGATCTCTGCCGGTGCAGCGGAGAAAGCAAGGTAAACAGGCCAAGCACTACCCTGTGATCCCCCTGGCCCTGGGCTGCCAAGGAGGCAGGGAAGGCCAGCTCTGCACCAGTCTGACAGTGACCCCCCCCGCTGCCCAACCAATCTGAAGAATGGGGAGGTGGCGTGGCTGGCTGGACCTCTGAGCTCCTCGGTTCTGAGCAAGAGATGATCCTCTGGGGCAGGGGTGACAGTCTGTCTCCCTTTCTTGGCTCTGAGTTCTTGGAGAATCTCTGCTTTCCAGCCACAGCCTACATCACTCTTGGGCAGGGGCACAGAGAGAGAGGTGAAGTGCTTCATAACTGCACTTTGGTGGTGGTGCCTGGAGGGGAGCATGGGGTCTGTGCTTCTGTGGAGGACAAGGGACACAAGTCATCAAGATGGTCCATCTACCCAGAACCACAGGGCACAAAGGCCTCTGCCCTAAAGGTCCCACCAGACCAAGTGGCCATTTGTCTTAGTCACAATCACAAACTCTGAATTATAAACTGCTCTCCCCGGTCCCCACTCAGAGCCAGCAGTGAGCCCCTCGGAGCCCCCCTTCCTCTGTCAGCTGTGGCAGCCTGGATGCCCCACCCACTGCAGCCAGGGTCCGAGGGCCAGGGCTCAACTTCACTTCAAGATGACCAGGTCGCCTCCCCACCTGTCCCCCGGAAAGGGCATATTCTGGGAAGCCTAAAGAGAGTTCTGACCTTCCTGAAGCAGGACAGAGTTCCATAGTCCTGTCCTGCCCCAGAAAGCCCTGCTCCGCAGCTGGAGCGCAGCTGCCCGCCCCTTCCCTTTCACCAGTGCTGACCCCTCCCAGGGTTTTCAGCCTGACAAGAACAGCCAGGCTTCAGGAAGCTTTCTCTAGCTTGCATTCTCAGGTCCAGCACCTCATTTTTCAAATTCTGGTATATTTCAGGTGGAGAGAAGGGAAATGTACATCTGGCTAGCATGAAGAGATTGGTGTGGTTGTCATGTAAAGATGGAATAGAATTTGGACTTTTTTTAAGAATATTTAAGGGCTGGGGAGATGGCTCAGTGGAATAAGCACTTCCCTGGCAAGAGCAAGGACCTGAGTTCAATCCCCAGTTTCGGGAGAAAAAA